TCCATTGACTGCCGAAGGTTCCGAGATAAGTCAGAACTGTACTTTGGTTAGAAACTGAATTTTGTAATTCATAAGAAATTGCTCTTGAGTTTTTGTACTTTTCCTTCAAGGAACTGTGATTTACTCAATATTTACCATTCTTGGATTTTGGAAATGAACAGAAATTTGGCATTTTTTTTTTTTTAAATAAATGTGTTTATATTTTCTTCTTCAGAAGCTTAAAGGATGGCCTCAGATCTGGAACAGTTATGCTCTCATGTTAATGAGAAGATTGGCAATATTAAGAAAACTCTGTCATTAAGAAACTGTGGTAAGTAAGAGAGATTCCATTAACTTGATATATGCAAAATGCGTTTTGATCATTGTTCGATTTTGAATGATATCTTATGCCTGGTTAAGTGAATGTATCTTAGAAAGGTAATTTTAGATTTTGAAGAGTGATTTTTAAAACATTCCATGTCAGTATTTTGAATATTACAGAGGATACTAAAAATGTAAGGTACCTTGAATGATGAACTGAATATTCGCTATATTTATTTACTTACATTTTTCTGAGACACATAGGCCACTAATAAGATTTGAAGGTTATGGTTCTAGAGCTAAATGGAGATACAGTCATGTGTCACTTAACAACTGGAGATGACCTCTGAGGAGAAATGCATCGTTAGGCGATTTTGTTGTTGTGGGAACATCAAAGAGTGTACTTACACAAACCTAGATGGTATAGCCTATTACACACCTAGGCTGTATGGTATAGCCTATTTCTCCTAGTCTACAAACCTGTATGGCATGTTACTCTACTGAATAGCGTAGGCAACTGTAACACAGTGGTAAGTATTTGCATATCTAAACATATCTGGACATAGAAAAAGTGCAGTACTTTTTATTTTATTTTTAATATGAAGGGGTCGGGGGTTGTGAGGAGGGGTGTTCAGTTGCCTTGTTTGTTTTTGTTGAGACAGAGTCTCACTGTAGCTCACTGCAACCTCCAACTCCTAGGCTCCAGGGATCCTTCTGCCTCAGCCT